AACAAATAGAGAAACACAGACAGACAAAGAGACAGATGGACAGTGTAACACAGAACGACAAGAGCCAACGTACAAATGCATGACCTGACACAACCTAGGGTAGGAGACAGTGACAATAGACAACAAACAAAAACCAGAAAAAACAGCAACAGGACACAATCACATGTGGACCACACACTGTGAACTTTGACCTTCACAACCTGCTCTGACCCTATATATATATATATATATATATATATATATATATATATATATATATTCAGCAACATTGTTCCTTTACATAGAAGGCGCTGTGTATGTATGGCAGTTTTTTGGTATCACATTTCTGAGCATGACATGGGACAAGAGCTTACTTTAAGTTTATATTTCTGCACCACGTAAAAATCATCACGTAAAGAAAAAGTGAATTGGAGCAGCAACCAAATAAAACTTCCTTGCATGCTTTTAGATTTAATTGCATGTCAGCAATTATCCATATGAGGGTTTGGTCCAGTGCTAATACAATTTAATAGGGATATTGTGTTAATGATGAACACAATAATATTGTCTAAAATAACTTCTAGACTTCGTCCCCACCTAAACTGACTCGTATTTGGAGATAAAATTATTAGAAACTAGACAAAACATATACAAAAAGATCAAATCAATCAATCAAATGATAGCATTAGACTATGACCTGGGACGTCAGACCCCACCCCACCAGGAGGTGGCTCAATGCAATGTTTTTGACTAGATTGAAATTGTCAAAAGAATGACCTTCTACCGTGTATTCCTAACCACTATTCCTTGACCTCTGTGGAAAATGTCACAGGGTCAAGGAAAGATGGTTAGGATAATTTATGAAGATTTAGGAAAATAAAACTGCGGTGTTTAGAGAATCCCGCTTTCACTAAGCTAGTTAGGATGTGACGGGAGACGTATGTTAGTGGCCTCAGTCTGCTGCTTTTAAACTACAATTTCTCCAAAGATGGACTACAAGGGAGCGCATCTTAGATGCCCTCGTCCATGTGTTGTAACAGTGGTGTGTCATGCAAACGGTATAAAACAACGAGGTTCAAAGTCTTACTTTATTAACAACGCTGCAAAAAAAATGAATTATGCTAACGGTTACTGACATCATCTTAGATTCTCCATCATGATTGTTATTTCGGCCGAATGATACATCACTATTTATATATTGCCACCCCAAGGAATTGTGGAACCAAAGGATATCCTGTCCTTTTGTAAAGGACAGTCCAGTGCTATGCTGGACCATGCTAAAGCAGCTAAGTAGATAAGTATTGAAGCGCCTTTCCTTAGCATTTACAGAATTTGAACAGCTCTTATCATGGCGGCCACGTACACTACTTCCGGGTCATTTTACTTAGTTGGGAACCTTAGCAAATTTGACAATTTGAATCCAGCCTTTGTGCCATATATTTGCTTATAGAAGTCGGGGTGATGTAGTGACGAGTACCAGGGCAATTAGGCTAGCCCTAGCTGCCATGCTAACTGCTAACTCGGTAGCCAGCCAACACCACACTTTCTTGCTCCCATCTCATCAATTAGGTACTACGCTTTGAACTTGAATTAAAAAAAAGAAAACGTATTTTCGGGTTAAAAGGTCTAGGTAAAATGTTTTTTTCAAATAAACAACACATAATGGTAAAATAAGTCAAGGCTGACATTTTATTGACTTCATGGTTCAAAGTCCTATGAGTGTTGTTTTTTAAACAATAATAGTTTTGTGCTAATAATGTTGAAAGGATGATGATAATTTCTCGGACTGTAAATTGCATAACCAAAAAGAAATGTAAATCCATAAAAAGCTATTTGCATATCTATTTCATCCCTAGGCATGTATTTGTATGAACTGGTCCTATGATTAGCTTAATGCTTTATTTATTTGACAATACTTAATTAATGAAATCCAGCAGTAGAAATTATATATTTAAAAATACCTTTGATAATTGATAGTAATTAGTGAAAAAATATCCTACAGGCCACATTATTCTCACCAAAACACTACCGTTGATTTAAATAATTCTTTGTGAACGAAATCACATTGATAAAAGATGAATTCACACGCATATGCCTCTCCCCCACACCCCATCCACACACCATTATCCTTTTGCTAAATGACATTTCAATAACTGCATGCACATGTATACATTCCACCTATATGTGTGTGTGAACATGTGTGCTGTGAGCTGTCACATTGTTTAGCCCAGTGTAGATGTTGTGTTTTGGATAGGAACCCTTTTCATGTCCACTTTGTGACTTGATTGTTTTGTATTGTTATCTAGCTACTTCCCTGTACTGTTAAATTTTAGGGAGCTTTAACTCTTTAATGTTGTTGGTTCATTTGATTGCAACCATGGTAAAACATGTTGAATATTGTGTCTATCGTCCAGTCCAGTACAGTCGGTAAAAAGCACGTTGAGTCCTAGCTGTTCTGCTAACCTAAAAAAGTCTGAGCTGATTTCACACACAAAACGATAAGCATATAATGTAGTCTGACCTAATCTAGTCTAGTTGAACAAATTATATTCTGGTGTAACCTTTACTAATTTAACCTAATCTGGTTGGGTCTGTTGTAGCTTAATTTAATTTGACCGATTTTGGTTCAGTTTCTAAGAAAGTTCAATCTAGTTTAGGTCTATTCTGTATTTCTTCCGATTCATTTTAATCAAATAGAGGCCGATCTTTTGGGACCCATCCCAAAACACGTTTCCTTATTCTGTTTTTTTTCTACTTCGGTTAAATTGTATTTTTTGTGAACTATATTATGAAGTATGAAAACTAAAGGAGTTGTATTTTCCAGTAATTAATGATGTATAGATCTAGTTAATGATATATAATCTTGTTAAATCAAATAAAAATGTATATAATATGATCTATATCCTGTCTTAACTTAACATATCTAGCAAAGTGTAAAGTTATTAGTTGAGGCTTAATCTCATCCCATCTCATTTTATATTGCCTGATGTAAATCAATAGTAATTACTCTAGATTAGTAGAATGTAAACTTGTCTAGTCTAGTTTAACCCATTTCTAATCTAATTGAATATGATCTCCTCGTTTTGTTTGCACGGACAGTTCAGTGAGATTGGACTGACTGCTCCGTGAGCTCAATGTTGGAGTCACCTCGCTCCTCCTATGGTTTGATCCAGGGGGAGGTGGAGTTAACACTGAGCTCTTGCTGGAGCAGAGGCCCCTCAGGCTTGAACCACACCTCTCCCAGGGAGGAGGACTCACTGCTGTACCCAAAGACATCTGTGTGTGTGTGCAAGTCGGGCCACATAGTAGGGCGTGGGGAGTGTGGGAAATGTATTCAGTCAAGTCAAAGAGAAGGGGTTCAAATTGAAAAATGTATTCGTACATATCAGTGTGAGCAGGACAAGATGGCACAAATGAATGGAAAATTAGGGAAAACCATTGAGACAGAAGAAGAGGAAGAAGCAGGAGAATGGGATGATTGTGGGGAAAGGAGAGAGAGAGAAAGGAAAAGTTAATGAATCACAGCATGGCCAAGTGTTAAAGAGAAGATTTGGAGTGCAATAGTGACTGACAAACTGACAGAGCAGAACAATAAAGGAGCCTGATGTTATGACACGATGTTATGACACAATGAAATGACGCTCATCCGATCTGGCTGTCCTGCCACATCGGACTCAAAGCTCTCCACATTGACACTTGAAGAGTTTCATTCCAAAACAAGACATCCAGAAGCAAATTTTCTAAAAGGAAAAAATTCCAGTAAGTGCCTGATGCTAGAATTTTAAATGATGAGGCTTGAGATATTTGGTATTTTTACTCAATGTAGGTCAAATTTCATGAAATTACCAGACTATTTTATGAGTATTAAAACTCAAAACTTACACATAGAGCTCTGCTGCTGCACTGGGTAACTAATACGAACTAGAGAATCAAATGTGTGCACACCTACGAGTGAAAATGGTCCCGAACTTCCTCCTATTTGAGATAATCTACAGCTGTGCTAGCAGCTATGTAAGGCCACTGCAGTGATTTGAGCCAAATGCTAATATCAATGCTAAAATGCCGTTTACCAATCACAATGTTTAATAAATCTGTTGGCCGATATATTGTCCCAGAGATATATACAATAATCTTTATTGTTTTTTCGGCATTTGAAAATAATTTCATGCCACTGCTACAATGATAATGATAACAACGATTAAACCGATTGTACCCCATAAATGATCAGATACAGATTTAATTAATAAAATTGATTGGAATAGCAAAAATGACGAATTTTATCTGTGTAGCTCTTTCCATCAAACCGGACAGGTGCCACCAAAGTTTGTTTTGAAATGAGTGACATCGGTAAGAATTCACTGCATATGTTACTCCAACATCAGCGCACATGGCTGTTCTGCAGCAGCCCCTGCAGGACCTCTGCAGCACAGAAGAAGGACAAATGCACAAAGGGGACTTCCTAAGATTGTAGTTTGACCGTGTGAGTGAGAAGAATCATATGAAACAAACAAACATTAATGCCATTTATTGGGCGGTGGCAGCTCGGTGCTCTTCGTGCCAACCGTTATGAAGGGAGCTGGAAAAGCTGATCCGCCACACAGAATGATGGATGACAAATGTAACAAGTAGTGTGTGTGTGTGTTGTTGTTGGTGTTAGCCCTGTGGGCCTACCTTTACCTTGAAATTCAGCGATGCACTTTTCACATATTGTATGTATGGTGTGAGTCATTTTAAATGGGGCTGGGTCAGTTTGAAGGGACTAAATACATAAACCTTTATATTGTGAGCTGTTTCTATAATTTTTCTCCACTTCTCCTGTGTGTTTGTTGCTGGATGTGCGTGTGTAGAAACACGTGTCTCCGAGTCTTACACGTACGTGCCGGCTTCTTTGCCCACCACACACACTGTCAGCAAAAATCAGTCAGGACCATGCATCGACTGACAACCCACTGCTGTCACTCAAGTACCGGCCTGACCCCCCCCCCCTGCAATGGTCCGCCTACTCCCCTCCACCCTCCTACCTTTTCGGACGTTCCCGTCCGTCGTGCGCTGGAATTCCCCGGCGCTCAGGAGGAAGCAGGCCCGGTCGTGCGGGTAGCGCTCGCGGCTGGTGGCAGAGCCGAGGCCCCCCGTGGCCGGGCTGCGCTCTTCTCCCAGCACCTGGTCGATGGTGGGGCAGTCCTCGTTGGCCAGCGCCGCGTTGGCTGCGGCATCACCATTCTGCTTGGAATCTGGGAGAAGGGGGGTCAGAGGTGGGGGCGGGGGGAGAAAATAAGAGGAGAAGAAAGTAGGGGGCCGAAACGAAGGAGGAATATTTATAACGGTGCAGGGAGTTGTGGTGAGAGGGTGAAGATGAGGAAACATGAAAGGAGGAAAGATAGGAGGAAGAGAGGAAACATGAGAGGACGATAGAGGGGTGAAAAGTGGAGGGGCGGAGGATGATACAGAATATATCAAAGAAAAAAGAAAAGAGAAGTTGACATGTGAAAGAGATGTGAAAGAAAGAATGGGACGAAGGGAGGCGGGGGGGGGGGGGTTGAGGAAGAGGAGATTAATGGTCCGGAAAGGAAGAGAAGAAGGAGAAGGAGTAATGAGGAGGATGGACCCATTGAGAGAAACAGAGAAGGTTGAGAGCATGAAAGCAATAAAAATGGAAAAGTGAGTAAATAAAGCAGAGGGTGAGGAGGACGAGGAGAAAGGATTTGGAGGTTAGGATCAGAAGCAAGAACAAAATGAATATGAAAGAGAAGTGGTAAGGAAGAAAAGAAGGAAAAAAATGGTGAAGAGGGAAAAAATTAAACGAAGATGGTGACAGTATGGGGAATTGACAGAAGAGAGAGGGGGGAGAGAGAAGGGAGCAAAGGAGGGAGGAGGAATGTAAAGGAACGTTAGCACCGTGTGATAGCTTTTCTGATCACATGACAAACACACTGCAGCTAGAGCAGACCAGAGGTGGATTTGTACTAAAGTACTATTACTGTTACATTGCTTAAAGTACTCAAGTACAAGTAAAAGTACTTGTGTTAAAAAAATACTTAAGTAAAAGTTTAAAGTACTCTTCTCAAAAACTACTTAGAGTACAAATTACTTTTTAACCGATGGATGTTTTATTGCATCATCAATAGCAGACATTCAATTAACCTGTAAAAAATTCAAAATCAAAGCACCTTTCTCAGACGAACAATATTCATGCCTGTGCATGAAACGGCCAAGCAGGTGAGTGAACACTAGCCACAAAGGCTAGTTAGCAAACTAAAGACATGACCCATTGTCTCTGGTTGTTTTAGCCACTTGTCAGCAGTTGGGTCCTGTTATTACTAGTGGAATGCTAGCTCCCCCCGCCGTCGGCCGTATCGTCGCCCCACACCCCACAGTTGCCCCGCCCCCCTCCGTAACGCCTATTGTCCCCACCCGCCCCCGTCGCCGCCTAATGTCAGCTAGACTTATTAAAACCGAGAAAAAAAAGAAAAGCAGATTGGAACGTGTGGGATTGAAACCTGGGTCCTCCACATCCATACCGGAATGCCTTACCACTGGTCTAACAGACCTGCCTTATACAAGCAGAGTAATCCGGGGTTTTATCTAACACCCACACACATTGTACTCCATTCATTCCAATGGAGCTCGAAATGTGTTTATATTGGGAAAACCAACAAGTAATTTCTCTTATTCCCTTAAAAGCACACGATTCCCGATGGGTACCGACAGTTTACAGACTATTTTGAAACAATTCCGATCAACCATGCAGGATAGTGGATGGACTATGGGAGATCGACCATAGTAACGACAGAGAAGAAAGTTAATATGTCTTTTTTAAACACAAAAACGCCGTAATCATAACTTTCTTCCCCTTCGTTGGTTAGCCTTCAATATGACAATTCTGATATGATTTACTGCTCAACAGTTACAGATACAAGCCACAGGGTTTGACACACTCACATACAAAGGACATAGATGTCTCCACACAACTGATAAAGCGAGGTTGAAGCACGTTTTGTCCACGCTCATTAAGACGAGATGAGGAATACCGGACAACGGAGGGCATTATTGTGTCGCTTGTGAGGCTGTTTCCATTTTTGACTTCTCTGGCTCTTTGTATTGATTCATCACTGCCCGATCCAATGACCAAGTTGCTAAAAGAGCAGCTTTCAATTTCAATGCTGAGAACTTACTTTGGCTGTGCAACGGATGCTGTTTCGAGAGACAAAGGACAAGTGTGTCGCATTTACTGCGGTGGGGTGGTGGTATGGGGTTGCTGTCAGAAATGGCGAAGGATCAGTGGCTCAGGACTAGGGTTGCCAACCGTCCCGAATTGTCCAGGACATCCCGATTTATGGGTGATAGAGCTCCAGTCCCGTATTCCGATCACAGCCAATACTTTTTTTTTTTAGACGGCCAATAATAGGCTTCTTTAAAAACGACATGGTTTTGCTTGTTGGTGACGTTTTTCTTCACGTTTACAATTGTCCTCCTACCGTGCACGGCAGTTTCGGCCACCAGCGAACACAGAGCGCGCGACTACTACTACCCCCTCCCCTACCCCCCCACCCCAACCCCCCGTCAGACCTTTTTGACCGGTCCGCGAAATATTGTCTGACATGAAAACGGTCCGTGAGGTAAAAAAGGTTGGGGACCACTGGGTTAGAGCCGTCGCCATTGACGAAAGGAAAGCGTTTATAGCGGCAAATCAAAAGAAAGAAATCTCTTTTCTTGTGATGCTGTGAACAAGGCACCCTTTGCCTTCTGTTAGAGACGGCTTTCAACAAACAAGAGACTTTCAACCGGGGGACCGATGTTCTCATCTTGCAAAAAAACTTGTTAGGCTAGCTATGTTTTACATACTTTTATTAGGTGTCCACATTTGTAGTGCTAATTTCTAAAGATTTTTCATACGAAAGGAAGTAAAAAGCGTGATTGGTGTATACTGATTTAGTCCGTTGCTGTGAAACACTGGTGGGAAGCCATTCTCAAGGCTATTAATAGTTACACTATATACCATCAACTCTATAAAGGGACACACTACAACTCCACCATAAGGAGCACACACACACAAACTTATGTATCGTCTCAGATGATGGACATGTCAATTAAAACCGCAGAGCAGGGATAAGAGCCATGTTTGGGCAGGCAGAAAATAATCTGATAATCCATTCCAGGATAATCTGAACATGTAGGCCTTGAGAGGGAAGAGATGGATTTGTCCAGTTGAAGTCATTTCTTCAGCTTTCTCGTCTCATCGTAAATCTATTTTAGTGTTCTCCTCTCTAGGAATAACGGACACATCAGCAAGTTATTTACAGCTTCAAAACCTGTTAGATACGCACTTCTCCCACTGATACAGTGGCTGAAATCCGACCTCTGGCCAGTTTGATGAGAAAATCTGAACGTTTTAATACAGTTTTAATACATTATTCTTGTAAAGTCTGCTCGCGTGATTAGACTTTAGAATTAGGAACGCTGCAGTGAACTAAGTAGTGAAGTGAGGAGGAAAAAAAAACATGTGTCCTTTGAAAAAATCTGTTCTCCACCATAAAAAAACAGAGCCAGGCCACAAACAGTGGAACACGTTTCGTTTCCTCTACAGCTCTGCCACGCTGTTACTCGCACCAGCCCGTGTTGTGTACAAGTGTCGGGGCGGAACTGGCATGCGCAGCGAATGGTGGACAGTTATAGACGTTAAAAAAATTCATACTTTCTTGGGACGCCTCTACCATTCAATGGTAGGGGAAACGTTAATGTATGCCTGTCCACGCTAAAGCACTTCGTCAAAAAGCTAGTTAGGCCACTTATCATAAATAAAACTAATTTGTGCAAATGAAAGCCTGAGCAATAAAATCTATGCTAAAAACTATATTACGCTGTTCAGAATGCAGCACATGCTGGGTTTCTTTGCAAAGGATGTAGCTAGCTAGTGTTTTATTCTCTCAATCTGATCAAATGAAAGTATTCCTCCATCACATGTGCAGTGTATTCTTCTAACACATGACCATACAGCAGAGCTTGAGAGGCCACACTACTGAGAAGGTAAATACAGTTAAATTACCCCAAAATGTCCAGTTTTTTACAGTTAATTCCTGTGGAAAGTTTCCAACTTTTAATATTTCTGGAATTGTGCAACCCAATACCAATTATGATTTTTGCCTTCATCCTGCAACCCTACAAATTTAGTATTAATTGATCTAAGTGAAGTGAATCACACATCTCCATTACAAGCGAGAGAAAGAAACTCATATCTGAGATATCCAAGTTGCAGAGGAGGTAAAAGATTTGAGTAGATTTGCTTCATCAGCAAATTAATTATTGATTAATTATTTATTTATTGAACAATGTTCACTCACTAGACTGTATTAACTTAAATTTGCTGATCCTGAATAAAAAATATGGTACTTTTAATCAGTGTTGGGCAAGTTACTGAAAATGAGTTACAGTTACTAGTTACTTCTTTTAAAGGTAATTGGATAACTTACCAGTTACTATGTATCAAAAGTAATTAGTTACTCTGCAAAGTAACTTTTAAGTTACTTTTATGTCTGCCTTTTAAATGTAATGAATATAAATAGTACTGAACAGTCAAACACAATAAACATATTTTTTAGACCTATTTTTGTAATCAACAGGGCAACAGGCTTTCAAATCAAGCAATAGTACAAAAGTCCTTTTTAATACTTAACTTAATACAAAATGACTGTTTTAGGCATTTGCCTGAAGGCAACTGACTCGACAGTTGACAGGATGCATCTCATCTTCAACATACCGAGCAATCAATCTATTCAGCTCTGCCCGGTTTATCGGCTGCACTGCAGTCCGTGTAAAGTGGAGCCTTAGTTGTTTGCGTGGAGTGGCGCCTGCAGCATCCGCGGGCGGGCCTGCGGTCTTTCGTCATGAGCGACGCGATGCTGTTTACATGCACATACGGCAACTATTCTGTGACACACAACGTTTGGTGGCCACAACTATTTTGTGCTGACAGGCAGCTATTTACTTACTATTTGCCGGCCCTCCGCTTCGCGTCACAAAAGAGAGTAACGCGAGTAACAAACTCATTTCAATTTCAGTAATTGTAACTGCGTTAATTTATTTAAAAAAATACTTTGTTACATGCTCGTTACCACTAAAAGTAGTGGAATTATAGTAATGCATTACTTTGTAACGCGTTACTCCCAACACTTCTTTCAATAAAGATCTTCATGTTCAACATCACAAGGTGGGATTATTTCCTCCCCACATTGTCACAGTTCCCTGAAGGCCCAATGGAACTGTTACATGCAAACAAGATATCATTTCTATAGTCACTCACCTGCCCTGTTGATCTCAATGATCTCCTCCTGTGCAAGTGGGCAGTCTCCAGTGCCCATCATACTGCCAGATCCCGCCATGCCCGGACCAAGCACATTGCCCATCAGCCTGTGTGGCGAGGCGGTTGCCATAGCCAGGGCATCCGGCTTGCAGTAATTGGGGCTGCCGGGCTGTGGAGCCCGGGGGATGTGCTTGTTCCTCTTCTTGGGGAGCTTCTGCTTGGCCATGGCAAGGGAGTAGTACATGCCGAAGTTGTTGACAATGACGGGCACCGGCATGGCGATGGTCAGCACACCGGCCAAGGCGCAGAGGGCACCGACAAGCATTCCTGACCATGTTTCAGGGTACATGTCCCCGTAGCCTAGTGTGGTCATGGTCACCACAGCCCACCAGAATCCGATAGGGATATTCTTGAAGTTGGTGTGTTTCGCAGCTGTTGGATCGTCGGGGTCGGCACCGATGCGTTCGGCATAATAGATCATGGTAGCAAAGATGAGGACGCCCAGCGCCAGGAAGATGATGAGCAGCAGGAACTCATTGGTGCTCGCCCGCAGAGTGTGGCCCAGGACACGTAAACCGACAAAGTGGCGGGTCAGCTTGAATATACGTAGGATACGGACAAAGCGCACCACGCGCAGGAAGCTCAGCGCGTCTTTGGCTGTTTTGGAGGAGAGGCCGCTCAGCGCCACCTCCAAGTAAAAGGGCACGATGGCCACAAAGTCTATAATGTTGAGGGTGCTGCGGAAGAACTCTGCCTTGTCAGGGCAGAAGACGACACGTGCCATCACCTCTATGGTGAACCAAATGACGCAGACGCCCTCCACATATGTCAGCCAGCCATCTGTGACTACCTCGTACACTATCTGTAAGGTGGAAGAAAACAATAAAAGGTTAGTAGATTCTATAAAAACATCGGTTTATAATTCAGTACACAGTAAATGCCCAAGAAAAATATGTTCCTCAAAACATTAAAGATCCTGTAGCAAGACGTCTTTCCTGTAACTATGCATTTGGTATATAGAACAATTGACATGTACTCGAGTGATCCTAACTAACCTCTAGCCAACCCCCTTCCAGCAGAGATCACCTTTCAATATTTTGTGCAGCTGCAAAGTCCTGAGAAAAAAAGGCAATTTAAACCGAGTTCATGCCCTTCTAACAACGAAGTAAGTAGTCTTGTTAACGGTCTATCGATTCTACACAAAGATGTCAGTTTAGTTATGAGTAGTAGTAGTAGTAGTATAGGATGCTCATACTTTGGGACCTCAAAGGGATGGAAGAGGATTTTTGCAAACCAAAGCAGGGGGTTGCAGCTCACACTGAGCTCTGACACCGCATTGAGCGAAGCCTAAATTTGAGCAAAGAGCCCTGTGATGTACGCTGAACAGAGGTTCATTCATTCTTGAATCTTTGTCTCACTATTCTCCCAAAATGATAGAACATGAAAGATGTGACCCTATGACTTTTTTTCATTTAACTTCAATGTACCTCCTCATGTGTCACATTGCCGACAGTGACATTCTCTGTCTTGTTGTAAATGGTGTTGAAGGCTTCGTGGGTCTCCAGGCAGAAGGTGGAGATGGAGAGGAGGATGAAGAAGAGGGAGCCAAACGCCACATACTGCAGAGAGACAAATAGAAATGGGAGGGTTGTCACCATATTTTTCACTTTGCACATGAAGCATACATTGTCTCCTTTTATTCAAGCTGCAGTACAGGAACCTGTCACATCTGCATGCCAACACTTTTCTGGCCAGTCTATGCCGTTGCTAATAGCAATTTCGTCTTCTTGGGATTGCTTGTCGAGGGGGGGGGGGGGCATTGCAGTATGTGGAAAGCAGTGGTAATACCGACAGGCTGCAGACAGGGGGCACCATCAACACACTGAGGAGAGGGGAGGAACATTGTTAATTTACTGCAAATGTCCCGACTGCTGCAATCCCATTGATAACAGCACAGCACAGTCCGAGACACAGAGGGAGGGAGGATGATGGATGGAGAGTGTAAAAGTATTGAGGTACACAGGGTTGCTATTTGTGTGTGTGTGTGTGTGTGTGTGTGTGTGTGTGTGTATGTCTGCGAGACAGAAAGTAGATACTCAGTGTATGTTAAGGGAACATAAGTGGGTACATGAACAATGAGGGAATGAGGAGATAAAAGCATTTCTGTGAGGACCGTTGTGAAAGCACACGTTGTGTATCGTGGAGCATATGTAGGTCTGTCGCAAAGGATCAACGATTATATGTTATAGACCATCGACACAACGAACACACAGACACTCTGCCTCTGAAACTAGCGCATCATTCATGTATTTTACGTAGCGTATTATCTGCCATTTTCTGTACAGTGCTCACACATGTTTTATGAGATTTCCTTTTCTCTGCAGCATCCCATACGCCCTACTATTGCTTGCCCTCCCTTCTCTCTCTCACTGTCACTGTTTCTCCCCCTCCACTTTCATATACTGCTCTCTCTCTTTCCCTGCGCTCTCTGCAGTAATCTGCCTAGATGTGTTGTGGGGTTCTCTCAGTGTTTGCGTAGAAGCAGTCGTTTTCCTAAACGCTAGGTCACCCGTCAAGGTCCATTCTCAAGGGCTCGTAAGATCATTTTCTAGACCCCATCTCTTTTGAACCCTGACGTTGGTTATCCCGAACATCCTTCCTCACAACCCTGCAGATACCGAGCTGCCTGGATATTGACCACATCTATAATTCACTATCAGTACATATCTAGCATCTTTTCGAAACTTAGAAGGAAAGGTTGATCAGATGTGACAGGAGGCAGCCAATTAAAGGCTGTCTGTGATATCATTGCACAAATGTATATTTATTATAATACGTCCAGTAAAACGCAAGCTCGACACTCCACGGCCTTATAAAGTTCTGCTGCTAACATGTGAGCGGTCTGCTGCCTCTTACAAATCCAGCAGACACAGTATGTATTCAAAATCTCATACTGCCACATACTACCATGCTAGTCAATACTAAACAATTGCAATTAGTGATTATGGGGTTTACACTTCCTACACTGTAGATTTTATGTATGCGAGAAATGTACACGGCGTTAGCAAGAACTTCGGAGAGTGCAGACAAGCTTTCTAGCACATAAAGCCCCCACCGTAGCGGTTGTTTGAGCATACTCATGAGGAAACATTCAAGTAGAATCAATCAATTTAATGCACGGAGAGTCCATTAATATGCAATATTTTTGTATCCCCTTGATGAAATTCAATATTAACAATCGTTTTTCTTGTCTCATCCACAGGAAAAAATGACATAAAATGAAAGCTGTATTGGATTACACGTCCAATTTCTCTATAAAGCTAAAAAGGTTACAACAACTTTTTCATCAAATTTAAAAGTCACTTATCACTGGTACAAAATACACTCTATGTATAATAGAAACAGTATACCCATGTTGCGTTGTCATTATCACATTTCCCACCTGAAAACCCTCCTGGACCCCCTGCAGTTCGCCTACAGAGCCAACAGGTCTGTAGACGATTCTGTCAACATGGCCCTCCACTACATCCTCCAGCATCTGGACTCCCCAGGAACCTACGCCAGGATCCTGTTTGGGGACTTCAGCTCTGCTTTCAACACCATCATTACATCTCTGCTGCAGGACAAACTCTCTCAGCTGCCCCTGCCCGCTTCTAACTGCACAAATGGGATCACTGACTTCCTATCTGACAGGAAGCAGCACGTGATGCTGGGGAAACATGCCTCTCGGACCATCACCACTGGTTCCCCAGCTGCACCTCCAGTCACCAGTCCGTCAAGCTCCTGAAGTTTGCGGATGACAACACCCTCATTGGACTCATCTCTGGTGGGAATGACACCACCTACAGGTGGGAATTTGACCATTTGGTGACGTAGTGCAGCCAAAACAACCTGGAGCTCAACGCTATGAAGACAGTGGAGATGGTTGTGGATTTCAGGAAGAACAGAGTCCCACCTTCCCCCATCACCCTGTGTGACTCCCCCGCCACCGCTGTGGACTCCTTCTGTTTTCTGGACTCCATCATCACCCAGGACCTCAAGTGAGAGCTGAACATTAGCTGCATCACCAAGAAGGCTCAGCAGAGACTGTTCTTCCGGAGGCAGCTGAAGAAATTCAACCAGCCAAAGACAATCATGGCACACTTCTACACGGCCATCATTGAGTCCATCCTCTGCTCCTCCATCACCATCTGGTACGCTGCAGCCACAGCGAATAAATTCATATATAAATAGGGCAAGGGGCCGCTTCTAGGAGTTCACTATAATCTACCACAACATTTTTACCTTTACATCTTCACATTACCCCAATAACACCGTATTTTGTCAACAAGCTAGGAATACTGGGGTAACATGAACGTTTATTGATCCTGAGGCAGTGTTACTATGGTGTAACTGGCCTCTGAGCGGTATGTTCCCTTTTACTTGTTTTGCTCCTGGCCCTTGCGGCTGAATTAAGTTGCAGCTGAATTCTGGTAATATTCAAGATTTGGTCTTATTTATTCACATTTTTTTGTAAATCTTTGGTCTCAGTGACATAGCCATTGGGATTCATTTATTTCAACCTTTGAACTACAAACAAATTAAAACCTTTTGGTTCCAAACAAACATGTTTTATGACCCATAACGTTAGAACATTGTTTGTTAAACCATGTATTACTGTTGGGGCCATTGGGTGCTGCAGATGAATACAAGTGTGTGTGTGTGTGTGTGTGTGTGTGTGTGTCTGCATAGCTCTGAAATGCCATACGTTGTGTGGAAGTATTTACAGTGAGATTTTACGCTACAAATGGGATATATTCTCATAAAAAGAGTGATTGATATTATCAATTACACTGTAGTTACAACCAAACTCAGTAACCCACCTAAGATGATGTAAAACCAGACAAGTGAATGCATGCAAGTATGCCTTAATGTGTGTGTGTGTGTGTGTAAGTGAGTGCGTGCGCGTGTGTGTGTATGTCAGGTCAGTGATGAAGACAGACAGATGAAGTCTTTCTCTAATCTGCAGGGAACTCATCAAGTCCCACAGCTTATTATCATGGTCTAATTTAACACTGCTATCTAGAGCTGCCCTGGATACACACAAACACACATCCCACGCACACACTGGCATTCTTGTGCATCTGGGTGCTATTGAGTTATTAAAGACAGATGCAGAAGAAAAAACAGCGGAAACATCGCTGTGTTTAATTTTACAACTTGCCAAGGCAAGCTATTTCCTTAACTGGATCCTGGATTAAAACAAATCTCAAATGCATTTTTTGTGAACTACTATGGTTCTCACATGTGTGCACATGCACTGTAACATTGCTGTTGCTTTGCTGCCTGCCCGCTCTCTGAGTTTCTACATGCACTTTGCCTTTTAATTTTTGTCTGAAAGAGATTATAATAATGTGCTCAGGATAAAAGGCAGACTGCATTGGCCATAAGTATACGTATTTTCAATTTTTGACAATAAATTGAAATAAACTCCACAAATTTATAAAGCCATGCAAGTTACTGCATTTGCCACAGTTCTTACAAGCATTTCACAACAGATGATAAGAATATAAAAAAAAGATTCTCCACAAAAAAAGGTTAGAGGGCTTTTCATTTAAGTGTTGTCAATATTTCAACTTTTTCATGTCTGTGACATATCCATCCATCCATCCATCTGCAAACCGCTTATCCTGCACATAGGGTCGCGGGGGGGCTATCCCAACCAACTGCGGGCGATAGACAGGGTATACTGTCAAAAGGTGACATATGATATGGATTAAATAGATTATATGGCAATCCATTCAATAGTTGTTGAGATTTGTCACTCAATACCCCTAACTGTCTGTCTCAAGGTGGTGATGAACATCGAGTTGACATCTATACTGTGTCATGGCAATCCACCTGATCTATTGCTGTTGTATATGTGTCGTACCAAGTGGTGAACCAACCACCACTTCTAGGGCCATTCCTTTAACGTGACAAGACTTCTTTTGTAATATCCTTTAGCATTAAATGTGTTTTGTTATTTGTACATTTACCTTCCATGTAACAACTTGTTCAATTTCTGCAATTTTTTATTTTCTTTTTACACATAGCATTTCAAACCATACAGGTCTTTTGAGCGACACACGGTACAATAGTTTCCTATTTTTGTTGTCAGGTCACAGTCTGCTTTTGAGATCTTCCAGTGGGAAAACACCCACTTCCAGCCAAAGAGTGGCGAGTGAGTCTGCTCATACACTTTGGCAGGTAATCAGATATAATTTGGTCAACGTTGACTTGCTTAGCAATGTGATGGTCTAACTGGTTGATATGAGGGCTATGGCTGCCATCGGGACCAGCGGTTAAAAAAGATCCAGCTATGTAGTTTTGCACATGAAGATTGTAGCATAGATTTTCCCAAGGAGGATAACGCAACACTTATAATGTTTATCATCCAGGATGAAATAAACACTTGTATCTAAATTAAGTATCTGTATCACAAAGTAAGGCCAATGAGCTACAAATGGATTCATTATTCCTAAGTGACAGCAAATAAAGAGCAGCAGGAAAAATGTGTCAAATAATGACATGTGCTTTTTACAGAGCCGTTCATCCCTTCTTGGTCCTCAGTCATTTCATGAAAAAAAACTTTTGGCCC